TATATAGACGTTTTATTTAAACTATAAATAAGCAAGGGTATATATAGATGTTTTATTTAAACTATAAATAAGCAAGGATATATATAGACGTTTTATTTAAACTATAAATAAGCAAGGGTATATATAGATGTTTTATTTAAACTATAAATAAGCAAGGATATATATAGACGTTTTATTTAAACTATAAATAAGCAAGGGCATATATAGATGTTTTATTTAAACTACAGGAATAAGCAAAGATATAGGAATAAAATGTCGCTGCCAACACTAGAGTTTGAACACAGATCATCAGAGAGCAAACACAGGCGATCCCATTTTGAATCAGTAGGTCACGTAATGATAAAGGAAATGTATATATGGGAATTAGTGTGGCATCTCAGTTGTCTCTATATGGATTATTATAGGGATCTATATACGGATTACTATTCGGATCACTATTCAGTGGTTACTTTCCGACCGAGTATTATCGAGCAAGTATTATTAGTGCGAGTGATATTCAAAGGCGTCTGACATCAGTATTGATCAACGGCGTTACTATAGTTGTATCTGCGATTACAAAGTCTCTACTACAAAGAGCATTACGAAAGTAACAACGAGTATTCGTTGGAATCACAAAAGTGGCAACGAGTGTTCGTTGACAACACAAAAACGATATTGTGTTTAATTTTATTCTCGGCACTGTATTTAATTTATATACTTTATGTTTTCTTTATGTGCCGTGTCCCTTCAGGACGTAGGCGATCATGTCTCTCCATAATCTCGTCCTTCGTAGCTATTAATAAATTTTGTCTCTGCTATAACCTTGTTCCGCTATCTATTTACTAAAACCTATTAAGTAGATTATGCATTCTCTTCCTCTCTCTCTTGTCCTGTGAGTATCAGATTTTCCAAGCCCTCTTTCCTCATTAAGTACCCTAGAAATTTTAACTGTCTCTTCCTGGTGTTACATATAAGTTTCCTCTTCTTTCAATTTTCTCTAAAACTTCGATGTTGCTCACATGATCGGCCCAAGGTGTCCTCAAAATATTTCTGTAGAAAAACATTTCTGTTGTTTTCAGTCTCTTTATCTTTGAGGAGATAGTCCAGAATTCTTTGTCATATAGGAGGACAGGTATCACGTAACAGTTCAGTATATATTTCCTTGTTTCTGTCTCTGCTTAGCTTTTGAAAAATCTCTTTGCCTCTCCGAATGCGTTTTCGGATTTAAAATAGATGGAAGATATAAAAAAATGTACAGCGTGCGATGGGTAAATTGTCGCCATTTTATATTTTTAATTTCGTGTATGGCAGTTGTTTATTTTTTGATTTTGTCGACTGCACAGTATTGTAGGGTCTGTTGGTCACCGCCTGTACAAAAAAAAGAATACCATGACGGAATTTACTCCGCTAGAAATTTGGAAACGGCATGCTGTACTGCTTGGCATTCCATCCGGAAGCTCCAAGGACGGTGCAGAGGATTTAGAAAGAGTGTAATGAGTCTAATGGTGATTACGAAGGTGCTTGGAGCAATCACTAGTGATGGTGACGTTATACATCTATTCATCTCCCCATAGGGCCTCACAAGCAACAGGGAAGCCTATGTAAAGAGCCTTGAGGAGGTTGTAGTACCCTAGGTCAAGATAGTGGCTGCTGGAAGATCCTATGTCTGGCAACAGAACTCTGCACTATGCTATATAAACAGAAGAATCCAATCATAACTGTCAGACAATTTCTGCGACCACATCACCCCTTATACCTGGCCACCTAACTCCCCAGACTGCACCCCGCTTGGTTATGTGTGGGGCACAATTCAGCAAGAGACCAACAAAATTCCTTGTAACACCAAAGACGAACTGAAGGCAAGGATTATAGCAGCATTCACCAACATAAATAAGGAGACCGTCCAGAAGAGTTGCGGGAGATTTCTATGTCGTCTGGAGGACGTGGTTGAAGTCAATGGCGATTTTATTGAGTAAATTTATTCTTTAGTCTTTCAAGAGATTTTTGTGAAATTTCGTAAATATATTTGTTAAAATTAGATGTCAGTGCTAATTTTATATGAAGCATAAAGGTAGATTACTGTTCTTTTCTAAAAATTACCCAAAGAAAATATTAAGTTTAAGAAGAACCTCCTAAAAGAGAAATGTCGTAATTTACATTAAGAATTAATCTGGGTCAACGAATTTCAACAGATATTTATTTTTATGCCTACATGTAACAGTCAATTTATTTCTCTTGTTTAATAGTAACCATCAATTTATTTCTCTTATTTTTAATATAAATTATGACATTGTTCTTTTTTTTCGTAATTTGAGTTCTTAAAAAAAATTAGTAATAACGGGACTGATGTCACAAACAATATATTTAAATTCCAAACAACAATCTAAATGATTTAACCTTCAAAGTAATCACCCTAGAATCTAATGCATGCTCCATCCTTCTCAACCACGTGCGCGTATATATATATATATATATATATATATATATATATATATATAGCTGGATTTATGTGAGTTTGTGACCCTGGGTTTCACGCTTTTGCGATCGAAAGACAATATATCTGATATTGAGCGCTTTCCAATATGTACCGCGTATATAATATATAAATATATATAATATATTGCATATATATATATATATATGTGTGTATATATATGTGTGTGTGTGTGTGCGTCGTCTACTTTAAATACAAAATATGGTTTTAAAATAAAAAGAAGCACTAACTCCGATATAATATATGAACTGAGCGAACATTGCTTTAACCAGATAATCTTATTAAAACTGAAATTACGTAACGGTCAGCAGCTGAAGATTGCGTTGTGCATGAAACTCCGAGTCAGGCGAACGGCGCCGGATAATATGTATAGGTATTAATATATACTTAATAATTCTGTTGTATTACATTGAGCACTCTTTGAATTATTACACTTTTTGTCATCCACGTGTTTTGACGACTGACCTTTCAACCGCCTGATAAACATTCATGACCGTTCTCAAATTTGAAAGCCTTAATAAACCAATGACATCGTCGCTTTTTGTATAAAAACACCTGCAACAAAATAAAACCTACATTTTCTTGATAAAGTCCCTTAGACGCTGATACACGTCCACTAAGAATAGGATTTCCTCCAGACTCTTTTCATTCATTTAGTTCCTTTACAGATACACTCTATAAGAAAATAATTTACATATGCGAATTGAGTCACTGTCGGTCACTGGGCGTGTTTCTAAAAATAAATACGCTAAAAAATTCACGTTCGACCGTGCGCCGACGGCTTAATGTTTAGAATCTCCGACTGACACTAATTCAGTCGGGTTTCGATCCTTACTAGAGGCAACCGGATATCTAGCCACACTGATGAGCTGCGAAACAGTCTGTCTGTGGATGACGTTATATATATATATATATATATATATACACATTATGAAATGGGCAGAGTCCGACAATTATTTAAGACATTTTTATGTTTATACGTTCTTTTTATAGATACAAATATTTAAGTAAATTTTTTTGTTATTTAATAATAAATAATAATAATAATAATAAGACAGGTTCGATTCCTGTCGGAGGACGCATATTTCCTATGAAAATGTTGTTAATTATGTTTATTATAAACATGGAATTTACTTAAATATTTGTATCTATATAAAAAGAACGTATAAGCAGAAAAATGTCTTATATATATATATATATATATATATATATATATATATGTGTGTGTGTTGTGTGTATTTCATTTTACTAAAGGACGTTTTTTGTTCGACTAACAATGACAAAACAAAAAAAAATCAAACAAAACTGCCAGGTGTGCAGCATTGCAGATGAGTTTGAAATTTCAATCTATTTATCCTCACCGATGTTCCCTTTTCTCTTCTCTATCTCTCTTCTCTCCCACTTTCGATTCATTTCTAGCTACATTCTATTCCTTTCTCTCCTAGTTTAAAACAAAGAGTACCAAGTGATCAATCCGATTTACTCGAGCAAGGAAGCTTAAACATGCTGACTGACAAGTCATAAAAGAAAATGAACGCGGGAGTTCATTTGATGCAAGTCTACCTTCACTATTATCACGTGTTCATTCGTTTGTTCTTACCGCTGTTCTACTTAGGTCTTTATATATTTTACTAGATGACTTTCATTGAATTTAATTCGTACTCACATACAAAATAAAAAAGAACCAAAAGTGGGATCACCGCATACCTGGATGCAGGTATTTCTACATCCCGACGCCTGATGTGATACCATGAATGGCTTCGTCTGCCCGTTGACACATCTTTTTATTGGTAAAGATAGCTGAATAAACTAGGTTCTCGAGCTATTGTCAGCCATCGGTCTAGAAAAAGGGTATCTCTAAATCCGAAGAGGGTTGGACGTGTGGATAACAACTAAGCCTCGTAAAACTAAATTTGCTATTAAAACATCAATTGCATCATCTAACATGGAGGGTTTGTGACGCTATATTCTACCGTGAGTTTACAGGTTCAACAGACCAACGAGGAAAAATGTTAGATGTTTGAAATTGTTAGCCATTGTAAAGGATTGCAGAGCCGTTCCAATACAACGATACAAAACCTCACATAATGATTGGACAAGAGGAGATAAGCACGAAGCGTATTAGAAGTTTGACTTTAGGTGTGTGAACTTCCGTAGAACGTTATAATACCAGCAGGTATATACATGGTACCAGACCATATATATATATATATATATATATATATATATAGATATATATATATATACTCTACAGAGAGAGAGAGATAGATTGGCATTTAGGTCCCACTTGTTTACTGTTAAAATAACTAAATATAACTGCCACTTCTACTACCACAGTTTTTTTCTTGCACTTCTCGCCTGTGGAATTCACTTCCGTTTACGCGTTGATAACAGCAATCTTCAATACCTTAAATGCAACGTCAAACGCCATCTTCAATCTTCTTCGATCTTGTTCATGTTTTGTCCTTTCCTCAATCCTCACTATACTCAAACGTTTCTCTCAATTTCCCTCCCTATAACCCCCTGCGTACCAGTTGCATTCACGCCTTGCTTAGGATGATTTAATATATATATATATATATATATATATATATATATATATATATATATATATATATACACATATGTCATTCGCAGACGGTACTGTTTCGCTGAATAGACATCCGAATACCTCAAGCCAGGATTGACACCCAACTGATTTGGTGTCAGACCGAATTACTACCACTGAGCTATCTTCATTCGAGATAGTTAAATAGCTAAATCTACGGTATTGGTTTTACAAATGTAAACAAATGCCAATCAGCCGGAGGGCTCTATTCATTTTACTGAAGAGCTTTGCATTAGCGCAGTGGCTGTTGTTTATAGAATTAGCTTATCACTCAACAGTGCTAAATCGAAATATATTTTCAAGAGCTAAATTATGTCATTTGCAGACATACTGTTTCGCTGTATCACAGCTCCTCAGTGCGACTAGACATCCGAATGCCTCAAACCAGGATTGAAACCCAACTGATTTGGTTTCATATATATATATATATATATATATATATATATATTAGTCGCATGCAAAACTATTGGACACAACACATTTAAGCTGTTGTTAAGAAAAAATTATTTCTTATATGATTATAAAATTAAAAATTAACTTGAGCTTAGCACATAATTTGTTTATTATATATCTAAGCAGACATAAGAGATATTTTGTCTTTGTAAAAATTTATATGCAAATTAAACAGATAAGTTATGCACAGAATTCTTTGAGACATTATAAAATTATGAATAAATCAGAATCAAATTTACAGTTTTAAATTTAATTATATCCCAATTATTCATTTGCATGCTCCCTCTGACCAACTAGACCAAATCGTGTACAAAAATCGACAATTCAAAATTCTTATGGGTGTTTGAACAAAAAGTGAAAATCTGGCTGGTATGTTCAGAGGTTTTCACAACCGGGAAGGCAAAAAAGCTCTCTCAAGAAGTTCGTAAAATGATAACTGGCTGTCATAACTATGTGATATGATATCGAAACATCTCCAGTGAACTTAATATCTCCATCAGTCGCAATAAGAGATATCATTCGAAGATGGAATCAATACGGCCTGATCACAAATCTTTTTTTCCGAACAGTACGCCTTCATGAATGGGTTTCGAGTTAGTTTCTGACAAATGAATGTATTTACACGTTTACTTAATATTTCCATTTGTCAGAAAGTAACTCGGAACCCATTCACTACTCGAGAGGAATTTCAGAAGAACCTGAAGGCAGCTAAGTCAGAAGTAAATGAAGATACCATTAGTTGTTGAAGACCTCACTCTGTTGGACTATAGTCTCGGACTCCTAGAAAAAAAAATCTCGTTTAAATCTCGCGATGGTTTCTTTTTTCAGCAACAAAGTGTGGGCAGACGAAATAAAAATCGAACGCTTTCGTGGAAACCATTTCTGTATATTGGAGAAATAAATCCAGTTTGCATAAGCTTAAAATATCGTTCCAAAAGGGAAACATGCAGGTGAAAGTGTAATGATTTTTTCTTTTTTTTTTTCTTCTAGGGTCACAGGTGAAGTATATATAATTAAAGTAGCAAGATAGATAGATAGATAGATAGATAGATAGAAAGAAATGAACACTGTGATAGATAGATAGATAGATAGTGAATGTTAAAATACCTTAGAATTTGGATCAATCTGTAAAGCATCTTACATTATTGATATTTCAATATGAGAATGAATCCACATATAATACAATGTAAATTAGATAGTGTTTAAATGCAGAGACAATAAGAATTTTAGAGTGGCTAACTAAGTCATTTGACCGAAATCCGAGAGAATATATATATATATATATATATATATATATATATATATATATTAAGCATTTCGCCACAAGCAAAGCAGGAGTGCCACCAGCATGCAAGGAGTTACAGAGAGTAAAAGCAAATGTAAAGAGGCGTGATAGAGGAAAGGATGAAGAAATTGACCGGGAAGAAGATCAAGGTACCAGAAGATGTCGGTTGACATTACACTTGAATATTTGATTATAGGTTTCATTGAATCAAGTAAGAGGAAGTGAGTTCCACAGACGGGAAATGCGAGAGAAGAAGCTGTTGGAGTAGAAGAGGCGGTTACATTTAACCGTTTCAACAGTGAAAGGGTGGGACCTAGTTACACGCTTAAATTCATGCAGTTTGGAAACCGGCGAAAGTAGCCCGTCGGAGCAGTTGATGTAAATATACTTGTTGAAGAGACAGAGAGAAGCCATCTTTGTTTTTATGATCTCAACGTTTCGGAATTTATGTCAAATGCTCTTCATCAGGTGTATGTCGATCCGAGTATGTTAATAATAAACATGTTGTGTTGTGATGAATGATAATGAATTTAGCAGTGATTTGGGTTTAATACACGAGAACCGATCACCGATTTTTCTCTCCAAGTAGATACAGAGAAAAAAACTAAAATAGATGCGTATTGTCGAATTGGGATCGATCTTTATTTTACTAAAGACTGATTCCGGTGTCAACGTATGCATTCACGCACTCCTTATCTGTTTACTACTGAAATGAAGAAACTCGAGTGATAAAACGTAATACACACTGTTTATGAAATGGACAAAGTCCGACAATTATTTTAAGACATAGAAAATATGCGTCCTCCGACAGGAAAAAAGAATGACGGCATTTGTTTACATTTGGATACGCATCGAGCAGATATTAACGTACATGAGAAAATCTGGAAAATTGTAGTTTAAAAACATAAAAATCGACCTAGCTAACAGAAACCCTTCTCTGTGGCTCAATCAGTAAAAGCAAGTCAGGCTATATGACAGTTCCGTATAGGATACAGGTTCGATTCCTGTGTTATTGCTTAGAGAATTGGAGTATACATAATTTTCAAAGACGCTAGAATCCAAGACAGAGTTAGAATATAATATAAAAAGCTCAAAGTCTAATATTCCATGGTTATAATTTATTACATTGGAATCGTAATCATGATCCAATTCAACAAACAATTTTTTTTGAATTTGTATATATAAAAAAAAATGTCTTAAAACACACTGTTTAATAAAAAAAATTAGGCGTTTATTTCGAATACGAATTATCCTATATATATATATATATATATATATATATATATATATATATATATTAACTGATTTAAAAATATGCTTCTATGGTTACATAGGAATTATTATGTTTCCATAAACAGAAACTAAAAACTTCAAAATTCAATTATATAATTAAAGGCCCTAGTTCTGTTTCATTTTCAAGCAAATTTTGGTATATATATATATATATTTTAAATCAATTAATTTATATTAATGTTCTGTAAATTTACATTGAGCACTATTTTGTAAAAAAAAATATCTAAAGAACACCGGACCGATTATATATCTTTTTCTTTTAGTATATATATATATATATATATATATATATTAAAAAATTGGGCAATAAGAGATCCTATTAATATAAAATATTAAAACTGAACCACAAAAGAGAGCTCATATAATTTTTATTATAGTTATTTGAATAATCATTTTTATTAATAAAGGCAGAAAGCACTAAAGATGAATTAATTATGATATATATATATATATATATATATATATATATATATATAAAGACATTTTTATGTGGTATATTGGTTAGCAAAAAAGACTAAAATAGATGCGTATCGCCGATGTGGGATCGAAAAGTCTGAGATTAAATTTATCCAGTTATTTGATTTTTTTTTTGTAAAGTTCCTACCACAATAGAATAAAGCGTGTCTTCTGAAAAATGGGATTGGTACCATCCTAGAGAGTGCAGCAACTTTTCTTTGAAAAGGGTTTGATCTTTATTTGACTAAAGACTGAATCCGGTGTCAACGTATGCATTCGCCCACTCCTTATCCGTTCTCTTCTGAAATGAATAACGTGCAAAGAAACTCGAGTGAAGTGCGAACTTTGCACTGACCTTTTCAATTTCCAACAGCATCTAATGAGACAAATGTTAAAGGAATTTCGGTTGAGGTCGGGATTTATCTGCCACTCCATCAATAACTACAAGACGGTTTTTTAGGAGGTGCCAATTTGTATACCGATTGCGGTCCAATTTATCGCTGAGTTAGGCGCATAGATTTCCAACACGCACAGCAGGGAGATTTGGCGTAAACCCAATATTTCTACTTTCTTGTTCCTCATGCGTGTTTGTTCTCTACCAAGATCAGATTATGGAATATCGAAAAGGAAGTGGGGATCAATGAGAGAATTCAATTTATGTGAAGTAAATCAAAGATGATAAGTAGCATATAAATATTGATAATAATGAAAGTGAACATCTATCTATCTATCTATCTATCTATCTATCTATCTATCTATCTATCTATCTATCTCTCTTTCTATCTATCTATCTATCTATCTATATATATATACATATATATATATTTATATATATACATATATATATATATATAGTTTAAAGAAGAGGAGACGGTAGAGAGGGATATTGGATCAGGAGGTCACAATAGGAAGAGAGATCATCATTTCAACTTAGAGCTAAAGAGATCAATTAGAAAGGATCCAACTGATTCCATTAGACGTTTGGCACATGAGAGAGGAATTTCAGCTATGACAGCCCCCAAGAGCAATGACAAAAAGATTTGGACCTGAAATCGTATGTGTAACTTGTGAAGCACCTTGTTACTCCAGGACAGAAAGTTAGAAGGTTAGAGAGGACGAAGATCATCTTGAATAATTTGGAAAAAAATCCTGAAATTATATATATATATATATATATATATATATATATATATATATATCGGAGGAGTTTTCGTTCAGATGGTGTTCACGAAATAAAATTAGTTAACAAAATAATAATAATAGGTAATTAAAGTCTCCGTCTTCTTTCTGCCATTATCTCTGGATTTATATCCTCCTCGGAATTATCCCTTCCAGTCACAAACTGGTAAAACGTATAATTATATATATATATATATATGTGTGTGTGTGTGTGTGTTCTGAGATTTTGTTCGTCAAATCACCGATTCTATGTTAAGAAGGTACCCGAATGAAACTTACTAATGGAATACAAAGGGAATGGGTATGATTCGACCATGTGTATGTGGTATGGTGCGTCATAGCTCTAAAGGTAAAAGCATTGACGTTGGAAATACCAATAGATTAGCGGGACACCTGAAACGTTTCGTCTGTGGGAAAAGGGCTGTATTGTGGAATACAATTCATCACGCACAAGGCCGTGTAGACGCTTTTGAACTGGGAAATGAGAACTAGGCAGTTCCAGTCCATATGTAGCAGCCGTACTGCATTTTTCGGCCTGATGTGGCTCTTTGAAAGCTAGATTCATGGTGGCAGGAGGAGTCAGGTACTTCCTGGAGCGCTTCAAGGAACCAACCATTTTTCCAGCATCTTCAGTGACGTAACGTATATATGAGTTCCACTTGAGGTATTGGATGAACTTGAATTCTAACAGGCATTGAAGGAAAAGAGCCTCCTTAAGAGAACTACCATTCTTCGTGATATGTGTTAACTCCAGGTAATAGTTGAACGTTATTATTTTAGTTTTAGAGATATTGAATGTTATTTCTCTCTTGAACTGTTAGGGATAAAATTTCTCCCATGTGTTTTATTGTCTGCATAGATAGTTAATATAAAGCAGAAAAAAGGATACGAACAAAAGCAGGACCTTTGGCGAACGCCTGAAATACGGGTGTCCTTTGGTTTCCCAAGAACCACGACGGGTGTAGCGCAATCGCTCACAAACGCTATAAGCTTACTTCATTAAACATAAAAATAGCTGGTAATTATTCCAAACCAAAAAAAAAATTATTCTGAATATCTAAGTCTTCCACAGTCTTTCATAGAACATTTGCACACGGACGTAAAGAAAGAATAAACACATCTTCATTCGTTGTTTCATATTCTTTTTGTTTAACACTACCAATAATAATCATTGTGTCACAATAATTGAGACACCCACGCAAGAGGAGATGGTGCATGATTTTATCCCGGTCTCAAGTGTTTCGTCTTTTATCATAAACAATAAAGTCAGTGGATCTTCAATAACAGCCACCTACTTAATCAAAATGAGTGAAATAATAGATAAATAAATGAAAACTTTGGGGAACAAGTGACAACTAACTGGACATTGAAGACTTCCAGTCATAGGCTTATATTGAGAGTCACGGTTAAGATAGATATAGTACCAGGCTACTCTTTAACGTGTGTACATTGACCACCAAGATAGAGATTTGCCAGCCACGTGTAGCGATATACAGATGAGAGTGAAGTTGGTAGTATCGTTGGAGGGGAAAAGCTGATATGTTAATATTTGAAGCTACATGTGACAGAAGCTGTCCCCACTTTCTTGCCTTCCCAAACTGTGGAAGAGAATCCTTCAAATGAACAATGAAATATATTAGTAACATAGTCTGAGTTTTTATTCATCGTTGTGGTCTTGCATTTATTTTCAGTTTTCGTTATCTTGTGAGCATGCAGCGTGTCTTTTGTGGACGCCAACGCAAACGAGGATAGAGACGGAACGTGGGCTTTCATTGCCAGGTTGGTGAAAAGATTGCATGTTCACAGTTAAAACCGATAAGAATTATCGGCGGAAGTGACTTTATTAATATACCGGTTGTAACAGCAAAATTGTCCGAATTGTGTTACAGCATAATTGCCCATCCCACAAAATGTTTAATATCAAAGAAACGACTAAACTAATTGAGTTTCTTTTTTCCGGGTTTTCAGATAACACGTTTAGCCATCATGACACTATTTGTCAAAAGAATCACTGGTAAACAGTTTTAGTTATTCAGATAGAAAGAGAACAGTTTAAAATCGTTTTGTGTCAGATCTACTGTCTTCCCACTGAGCACTGGTGAGAGGGAAAAGATCATTCAGGCCTTCAATAATGGTAGCAATATTCATACTCTGGCTTCCATCTACAAAGTCTATTCAAGAACAATCAAGAGAACGATGAATGTTTAAAAAAGAGGAAATAGTAGAGAGGAAAACTGAATCAGGAGTTCACAACAGGAAGAGGAATCATCATTTCAACTTTGCGCTAAAGAGACCAATTAGAAAAGATCCAACTCAATCCATAAGACGTTTTGCACGTGAAAGAGGAGTTTCAGCTACGACAGTTCAAAGACCAGGGAAAAAAGATTTGAAAATTAATGATGAACATGTCATTTTCGTTTATGTTCGATTTCATCACAATTTTTCTTTTAAGCTTCGAGAGTAATTATACATTATTGTTGTTCAAAGTAGAGTCCAATAGGGTTGTAAAAACCTCTGAAAATTCCATTAAGATATATTTAAACATTACTACAGTTTTACTGTTACACCCGGTATGCTAGGAAGTTGACACTGTGTTGATTCAGAAAGAAAATTCTAAAAAGTCTAATGCATGGTTTTCAGACTAAGAGAAAGGAGAAGGAAACTAACATTATGGGGCTAAATAACCAGTGACACTAGACTAACTTCTAGAACAGTTACAATTTAGAACTAACTCGAGAGGGAATGCTTCCCTT